GCGAGATACGTACGTACATACGTTCGTACAGACGTAACGAAAAATTATAATTCATTTTAAAGGAGTTTATAATTTTTTTGGAGGAAAAGAGTGCTTTATTCTGTCCTTACGTACAGATATCACGGAAATACATCGTTAAATAGCATTTGAAAGAGGTCGGTCAAAATGGGATATTTTCGTTGAAATATGCTGCCTGAAACATTTCGCGATTACTATACTTTCCTCCAAGCTAACCAAAGTATTGCCGGAAACGACGGCTGCGGTTATCTGGTTGTAGTTAAAATTAAGTAGAGAAAAGAGAAATAACTTATAATTAACAGAAAATACCATTAAATACTTGCCTACATTTTTAAGGAAAATAATTTAGAGATTAATTTTATTTTGTTGTGAAAAAATAATTCAGTACTGAAAAGAGAAGGGAAGTGTTCATTTGTCTCTTGTATCTCCCTAGGACTGATTCGGAAACAGAAGATTAAACAGTTGCACACTTGATTTATTCTTAAGATTTGCGAATTTTTAATGGATTATTTAACAGTATTTATCTGTTTCAAAATATCTACAACTAAATTACATACTGTTGTGTATAAAACAATTTCTATACAATGTAAAATCATATGCCAGTACTGTTTTTACCTCACATATTGTTTTTCCACTTTTGGCATCGTAGAAATTTTGCTACATTCTGACAATTTGTGGTAGTGATTTTTCCATCGTTGTTCAACAAATAAAAGTCATAATTTTTGAGGGGGAAGAACCGGTTAATCTGAAACTTTTTAATCCCCTTTGGGTAATCGGGAGTTGATTGTATACAAAAAAAAATGTAGCATTTTCTTCTTGGATGTCAGAAAATCAGTTATTGTCTTCTCTTGTAATATTTCGCAATATTATGACTACCATAATTTTTATTTTCAGGATTTTCGTGTTCTGTATACAAACTAGTATATATGCTCAAGGTATGTAGATAATTATGTATAATATCGGCATCAAACACATAAGCCTTCTCACGCAACTTCATGTTCGAAGTCACGCGAGAAATCGCACCTGTGTCGTGCATTCCCAAGGTCTATTCTGAGAAACGAATTTCCTGTTTGCTCCTGCAATATTCCTTGCCGAGAAAGGTAACCATAAATGAAATTACAGGAGTTTCTGGCAAATTGCTTTGATGTAAACAACAATAAATCTTGCTTTACCTGTGATATACCTTCGCATATCCTCGCGGCTTCATTTGTAAGCTTTTTAAATTACCTGCCATTATATTACCCTTCTAATTGGGTAGCATTGTATTATATCTATCTTTTGCTCTAACCAGAGAATATAGTAAGCTCCAGTTACACAAAATGGCCTTTATGAAATGGTTAGAATGAACGGTCTACGGATTTCTGAAGCCAGTGTTCTATTGTTTCCTTTCCTTCATGCGTGAGAATCCATCATGATTTTAAGATTATTGTTTAGCATACAGAGAGTAAATGAATGCTTTTTGTTTTTTCTCATCGTTGCCATGTATCATTAAGCCATGCATCACTTTCTTTTTGCTAAAATAGCCCCGTCCTCCAAGGTTTCATATTCAAATTCTTGACTTTTGTAAAAATTGACGGCAGGCTCTCTCTGTCATCTTAAAAAGCCACTGGTGTTTAATGCAAAGGATTACAAACGAAAGTGTGAGGATGTTATAAAACACACACATATATTTTATTTTTAGTCCAAAGGGATTTCAGTCCCGAAGGACTATTGCTTTCGTTTTGGCATTTTGCGTCGGACTCATAAACGTCGGTTCACTTTTCAAACTGTTGCCACAAAATGTTAGAGTCCTGCATTATATTTGAAGAAATTAAATAATGAAAAATCTGCATAAATGATTGTCTATTTCTCGCATTGTGATAAAACAATGGTACATAGAGCCATCGAATTTTGAATGACGAAATCCTACTGCGAATATGGGCATCTGAAATCCCAAATTTGGAATTTGTTTTATTATAGATTTTATATTTTGTAAAACTTTAACGAATTTTGATTTTACAAAACTCAATGCTTTAAAAGCGAGAAATGGCAACGTTATATAGAAAAAAAAAAAAATACTTTTATCTCCAGCTCGCGAGACTGTGTATATCGGAAATTCTAAAGATAGGCTGCTTGCTGTTTTTAACATTATTTTGCGATATTGCTCTTGAACTGAATTTTATGGTTTAAGTGCAAAGAACATGATATTTAATAAATAAAGATAACACTCAAAACGTTAAAAAAACGCCCCTTTGGACGTAATTTAAGATCTGAAAAATTTCAGATTTTTTTTTTTTTTTTAGTTGTTTTATAATTGTTATATTTATTCATTCAAAATGACCCTGTGAAGAACTGGTTGATAATATGAGAAACTTGGATAGTTACTTGGCACCATATCGAGAATAAAACGATGTTTCATAAAATTAAATGCCTTTTCATTTCTTTTGACGTCAACATTCCATAATAATAGGAAAATATGTGTCCACAAAAAAAATCTTCATCCATCAATAAAGTCAGAATACACTCTATGACAAAAAAGTCGACGCACCAAGAAGGAATCATCCGATTGCCGATCCTGCTTTCATTTTTGCACACCACACAGGCCTTCAACTAGGAGTTATGGTCTGGGGTGCCGTTTTCCTTTATAAACAGACACCTTTGGTCGTCATTACAGGCGCACTTACACAGCGGTACGTCGACGACATTCTGAGACCTGTTTTGCTACCATTCCTTTTGCAGTACCCACTCCTATTTTTCACCAAGATGATACCAGACCACATACGGTACGTGTTTCCATGAACTGTCTTACAGCTTGTCAAACACTTCCTTTGCCAACCAGTTCGCCAGATCTCTCCCCCATCGATCATGTCTTCATGTCTGGGATATGATGGAAAGGCGAAGGTATCTATCAGGGAATCTTGATGACCTAGCCCGACAATTGGAGACTATCCGGGAGCTTTATCAGTCTATGCCGCGCCATGTGGCAGCTTGCATCCAGGCTAGAGGTGGGTCAAAAGCTTACTGAGCTCGTTTCTTTGTAACTATGTAACACTGAAATAAATCATTCAATTGTTCTGAAATTTTATCAGTACATAATCTTCCTATCCACCAATTTTTGTCTCCATCGGACAACTCCTTCTTTGTGCGTCTATTTTTTTGCTATAGAGTGTACTTCATCAATGCACTAAACAAGAACATTTTCAAATGTCCTGAATTAAAAGTTGGGTGAATATATATGGAAGCTAGAATAAATCATCACTATTCATTAACGATTACATCAACCATACAAATTTCCCCTCCTTCTGAACCTTATTCTTATACGCTGTTCAACACTAAATTATATTGGTACACAATCTACTACACTCGTCAACTTTCTATAAATCGCAACAACACTACCTTGGAGATATAAAATAAAATGCGGCAAACACCACCCGAACTGACTGTCTGCCAGACGATCTTGCCACTCACAAGTGGTAGAGCTATAAGGTATTCCTCTCGCCTTCTTAGTGTGCCTTTGTGGTATAGTGGTCTTCACGCTGGGCGCGTATTCCAGAGGTCGGTGGTTCGATTCCCGGCGAAGGCGTTGCCCATATTTTACTTCTCCTGCCTCCAAAAAAATACCTAATGTCTCTACAGTGGCGCCCGACCTAAAAAGGTGGTGGATGATGATTCTTCACACCCAGGATTTGGCGACTGTGTCCAGTCGCCCTTTAAAAGGACGAATATATAAGGTATTTCTCCCGCCTTCTTGGCGTGCCTTCGTGGTGTAATGGTCTGGACACTGGGTGAGTATTCCAGAGGTCCGGGTTCGATTCCCAAAGAAGGCGTTGCTCATTTTTCATCTTGGCAGCTTCTAAAAATAACCTAATGTCTCTACAGAGCATGCGCACGGAGTTAAATGGTCACCAATATTTCGCTATTTTTGACGCGTTACTATGCGTCTAGGTTTTGTTAAGTTTTTAATTTGTGTGTGTGTGTGTGTTTTAATGTGCTCTGTCATCTATCTATTGATGTATTTAGATTAATTGTAACTTTGTAGTTTTGAAAATATAAGTATTCGAACACATCTTAAAAAGCGTCTTGGGTTTTGTTTTCCCATCAAATCATTATAAAAGAACGGGCAGTCTATGCCTATAAATGCAGGCAGTATGTTAAAATTTTCTCATTAACTTTAGAAGAATTTTTGATTCAGCGATTTTTGAACGAACCTCCTTTTTAACGAGAGAAAATTATACTGCCTATAATTAAGAGCTACAGGCAGTATGATTTTCTGCTAAAAAAATGACCATTTCGTTGCATTTGAAATAAAAGACTTTTTATTCAAAATCATTGCCAAACAAACGCTTAATTGTTCGTCGATTTTAAGTATTGCTGCTAATACTCAAATATTTACGAATATCAGATTTTTAGAATAATATGATTTTATGAATAAATATTTAAATATTATTTTTACTGCTTTATCGAAGAAAATGTTTTCACTAAACCAGGAATTACACATGAACAAATGCACAAAGTAAAATAATGAATAATTTCATGAAATATATTAAATCTTTACATACAAAACTGCGAGTTTCGTAGCCTAGTAACTCATAAAAATAACTCATTTTAGTAATTAGAAACAATTATGAGATATAAACGCCAGAGCTTTCAATGTTACAATAGGGTTGATGACCCCCAAATGTTTCGCCCCGCCATCTGGGGACCGAACGCCCCGCTTGCGGTTAGTTTGTTTATTATAATGTCCATGACGTCTTTTTCTTTTGCTCCACCAGCAACAGAGAGAATTGAACTTTTACGTGATGATGCCATCTCTTTCTCATTATTCGTAACTAAGAAACTATTTCAGTTTTTTAACGGACACGCACGCTTTACGCTGTGTGGATAGTTTCGCGTGATGTCTTCCGCCATCCCGCAAAACTCGAAAATCAACGTTACAGGATGTTATATTTTTATTTTAACTAGATTTGTTTCTGACAGCTTCAGGCATACACACGTTTCTTACATAGTCATAACTCTATTTAAAAGGTATTATGTTTTTGCTTGGTTTACGGGCTGAAAGCTGCGGGTGATTTTAAGTATACCGACGTGTTATGTTAATGATGCTGTACCTAAGTCTTAAAGACCTTACAAGTTCTATTTACCATTGAGTTTTAAAAGGACTGCTTTAGATGCACTTTACCGGAATTTGAAGAAGAAGGCACTTATTGTTGAATTTGTGGATGGTAAGCAAAATTAAATGCCTCATTTTGATATATAGTGGGAACAAAAAAGGCAGCAACTTCAACAAAGAGAGAGTGAGAACCGAAATTGATGTAATATAATTTTTTTTAACTGCTACCGAATCAGTCGACTAGCGGTAAGTCTTTTCTAAATGCTCAGCGAAGAAAACCTTTCAGAAAGCAAAAATTATATTCTATTGACATAATATTTTTATATTTAAAGTAGATTATTCGTTTCTAGTTTTGTCACACAACTGCTGTTGAAATTTCCTAAATCCAAAAACGAAATTAAATAGGCCAGTGAGCCCCAGTTATTTAATTTCATGTACTATTACATAGAATAAAGAAAACGCTTGAATAAATTACTTATATAGGGGTTATTCGCACATTTTTAGACAATTTTCATTGTATTTACAGAACAGTTTTATCTAATAGTTTTGCGCTTTAAATGTTCTATTTCATAAACCTTATTCTTCATTATTTTTACTTCCTTGTACGAAGTAAAAATGAAGTATTGTAATCAAGAAAAGTTTCAGGCAGCATATTCCAAGCGAGTATTTCATTCAAAAACGAGTAGCCTCAGAACGTTGAAATTTTGTATATAGGACTGCTATCATGTAGATGTGCACCTCGTATTTTGATTGCAATCGGCCGCAACAAACGTATACAAATATATTTATATATATATGCACTCTGTTACCCCGCTCAGTGATCTCAATTTCTTACCTCTTATATGTTTGTAAATTGTGAATTTGTTTACATTAAATATGAAATTATGTAGTTTATACCTTCCGGTTAAGGTTGCTAGGCCTTTAGTAAACCTGCAAGCAATATTTGTACACTTATCAACAATTTAAAAGCTGTTTAAGTGCTGTTAAGACTAATTTTTAAATAACATGGCGGGAATATTTGTTTACATTTGAAACAGCAGTATAGTAGATTTGTTGCCAATCTAGAGAGACTAAGCTTCGCAACAACAAAGATAACGCCTTCATTTATTATTGCGAATTAAAATCATGCTTAATCCTTTCTAGAATTTGTTCGAGGAAATAAGTGTTTAAGGTTTACATCGTAATTTTTAATATAGATATTTTGAAGTTTTATGCATTTTTGCCTTGTCGCGAAGGAAGAACTGAATTAATTGAATGACAAATACTGAATCGTCTGTGAAAAACTGTTTCTTTTTGTTTCCTTAATTTCTCATATACATCGAACTAGATATATTATAGTATTTGAATAGAACATGTGATAACGATTAGATAATTCTTTAAATGATATAAATTTTGTTCATTCTGAGTTATAATATGAACGAAATATAGTACTGCTAAGTGAACCTAGCGCCAGAGTGTCGCTATGGTAAACAAATAGAGTGAATTTTAAAGAATGCATTTATTCTATTGTGGTTTATGCTGTATCGGCGAAGTAGATTTAATTCAATCCAACAAGTTTAAATCAAATGCACGAAAAAATGCGTATAATTTAATATTCCGTACAAGGAAGTCATGTGGTGTACACATCAGATTTTTTTCTAAGATATACACGAATTTACATATCAAAGCGTTTTGAAATTTGGCACCTTTTTTTTTTTTTTTTTAAGGAATAAGAAAGCCAAACAATAAAAACACTTTGCTAAAATTATGTGAAATAATGAACGACGATTTTTTTGTCCCGCTCGTTAACAATGAAAAAAAGGAAAGAATATAGGTTGCTATGAATTGAGAAGTTCGGCAAGTGAATTACTCTTGGCGCGAACTGAAAAAATACACCAAGATCAATTTTTAAATTTCTCCATAACTTTCGCACCAAATTTTATAAAATTTAACATTTAAGCATAATTTGAGTTGTAGAATCGAAATATGGAAAACAATTGGCATGCCATTTCACAAAACGTCCGATTTTGCGTGAAAATACCTATGTTAGAATGATGCTATATACAAATCTATATAGCTATTGATGATAATAGATGGATCTATTTTTATCGCAGTCATTTAAATACACCCAAGATTCGTCTGTTATGAAAACTGTCTCCATTTTTATCCCGATAAATGTTTCTCATAAAGAATTCTGCAGCGCATTCTGAGTTTGGAGATATTTCTTGGAGAACGAAGATGTTCATTATGTTGCTTCGCCTTTTAAAGATTCAAATGAGTATTAATCAGTTTGTTTGCCAATGGATACTGAGAATTTTAGTGGTTTTGCAGGTGTGCTTAAGTTTAATGATTTTGCAACTGTGCTTTAACTTGTGGTTATTTTAACATTAAGGATCTTACCTTTGCAACTTTCAAAACATTCCTTTCTCTTCTGGGATATCTATTTGAACAAATTTTCCCCTTGAAACTAAAACTCGACTTTTTCCCCTTTCTTGTTAACAATATTACATGTCGTAGATTTATATATCGAAAATCCATGGCTTTCACAACGTTTTTTTAATAACTAGATACGTCTAATTTTCTTCGAAAGGAGTACAAACGTATCCTTCCATCCACTGCTTCTTTAACGGGGCTCATACACCTTAAACCCCTTATATCTTCGAATAGGTGACTGTTGCAAGAATTGGAATATTTTATTTATTTTTAAAAGCAATTACTTCCAACATTTTACAGCTGACTACATAATATAGCTGCTTTGTGAACTAGTAACCAGAAAGTTTGTATTGCCGCAAATAGTTTTGTAATTTAATCCGCTTTGTGACAAAATTTTTCGTCATGTTTCCATCTTGTGCGCATGATATTTTAAAAGTGGCTAATGGTACATATTTGAAATTTGATGGAATTCTTTATATGGGCACTATTTTCTAACTGAACCAAAAATCGGATGAATCTTTTAATATTAAAAATTTTATGCACAAAGATTTTTTAATAAAATACATTTTATAAACTCAACTCCAAATAAAATAAAAATTTAACGTGAAATTCTTAGAATTTTGGGTTCACAGTCGTTTTCAAATGTTATAAAAGCTATATATAAATATGGAATTAAATTATGCAACAGAATGTTTTAAACTGTGCGCGCAAGGTGGAAATATGACGAAACGTTTTGTCACAAAGTGGTTTCAATTATAAAAATATTTGTGTCAACACAAACTTTCTGGTCACTATTTCAGAAAGCAGCTATATTATGTAGTTAGCTGTAACAAGTGGAAGTAATTGCTGTTAAAATAAATAAGTAATCCCAATTCTTGAAACAGTCACATATTCGAAGATCTTATGGTTTTTAAGGTGTATGGCCCCCTTAAAAGCGACATTTTGCTTGGAAACAAAACTATGAAGTAGCAGATGATAATTTATGCTTCCAAAAATATAGTAGCAATTAAAAAAAAAAAAAAGAATTTCCAAGCTTGGTTTTCATAACAATGCAAAATCGCCTAAAAGGGTTCGAACAGCTTCTCAATTTATTTATATAAAAATGTATAATTTATGTAACTCTAGCAGAAGCACCCGATGGCAATTAAGTTATATTGAGAGTAATGCATCTAACAATAGAAAGAACGATACCGCTGTAATCCTTCTTTAATAGCGATGAAAAAATACGATTCATAGTCATACATTTTTCAGTCTTATGCTATACAGAAGCTACATAAAAAATTTCGATAGAAAATTAAGCTTACCAGGTTCAGTTTTCCTCCTTACTTGCTTGGGGAACATTAAATGACCTGACTCAGAACAGGGAGCTTACTAAAGCTATGTTCAATAAATGTGGGAAGTAGACAAGATACACAGGAAGGGTATACGAAACCCCGAAACCCTTTATTTTTCTTCTCTTACAATGATTTCCGGACTTCGGAATACAGAGACCAACCACTTGTGGTCTGAACGTAAGAATATAAAAATATTAACTAAATTCTAACTAAACTAACTTTGGATTAATAAACAAGTGGCTACTTGAAGATTGGCCGTATATTAACAGAAAGGCCGTATGTAGTACAGAGAACTGTTAACACTACGATACGTTTAAAATTATAAAGAGGATTAAACCTCTGGCCTTGAAGGCAACCAGCAACCGAGTAAAACTGCTAAGGCAAGCGACCTGCTTCTACTAACTCCTTCCTCTCTCTCTTGCTTGGCAAAAAAGCCACAACTTAAGTACTTGACGTTCGCAAGACAAATTTGCATAAATAAGTTAAAGCTTTTAATTCTGGTCGGAAGTAGAAAATAAGAAGTGATAGTAAAGATTTAAAATAAAATAAACGTTAGTAAAACTTAAGATCCTTACATACTTCCCGCCAGAGTTAATTAGTTTGAAACTGAGGTCTCTAAAACTACCTTGTTGAAAACTTTTAGCTCTAGAATCTAACGCGAACGCGAGGCCAATCTCTTACAAACATTTCTCACTAGAAACTAGAAATTAAAAAAAAATCGTTTTTTACATTATCAACTCCATGGACAATTACTTTTCATCTGTACTGCATCTAAGCAGGAGCTTTTAGTTGAAATCTGGTTCCCTCCAGAGATCTGGAAGGAAAACTAGTTTAATGAAATGTTACACAATTAAATGGCAAGTAACATGAATATTTATATTTCTCTTAACATTCTTATTTCATTCATGACGTTATTTAATTCTCTCCCCGTGCTCTCTGACATGTGTTGTAAAAGAAAACGCCAAACACGAATGTGTTTATGTACAAGTGTTCAACACTATCGCCTGCAATCAAAACACTAACGTGTTAAAATTCAACATAACAAGACCTCATAACACACCTTATATTCATCTCTAAACCCTGAGGTACTATTCTGAAAGTGGATAACTCTGAAGTGTAGCGTCAGAGAGCCTAACTACATTCATTCAACCTTTAACACATCTATTCTTTTCCAAGCAAGTGCCAATTCTTCTCCATTGAAATACTACATTTCAAAAGTCTTTCAGACTAAAACTTCTTTCTTGCCAGAATCTTTTAAAATAAATTTTATACAATAAACTTTTTACAATATTCAAGTATTTACACATTCCTATTATATATTTAATTTTAGTTTTACTCGCGAGTAATTGAAAAACATAATACCAAA